CAATATTATTTTATTATTATTATTTTTATAGGATAAGCCGAAAAACGAGTATACGGACTATACGGATCACTTGATTGTAAGCAATCGGCGTCGCCTATGGACACTTAGGAACACCAGAGGCGTTACAAGTGCGTTACCGGCATTTTGGGATTAGGAATTTGAGGATCGTTCGGGATTCAGGGATTGGGGTAGAGGGAAAGGGTTATTGGGCTTACGGTAACCTCACTCGCACGACGAGACACAACGCAAGCGTTGTTTCACACGGGTCTTCTGTGTGTATTTCTCTTCTTACCCATTTATTTCTTTGCTTCATCTCGTACAAGTAGACTTTTTTTTAAGGAGGGAAAATCATCGAATGGCTGCTCCCACCTGGGTGAGGCGGAAGGGAGTGTCACACTCTTATTGACTAAAAACCACCCCGTTCCTTCTCCTGCACGTCGAGCCGGGGCCCCGGTAACCCGTTAGGTTCCCCGCGACCGTACGACTAGACTAAAGCAATAATTCAAGTTGCCTAGCAAGAAACACATGTTAGCAAGGGACTTGGCACTTCTCGTGACAATTCCGTATGAATACCTAAACAACTACATATTTCCCCCGAGGCCCGCTTCCTTCTTAGCAAATAATTCCTATTTTTACGGTTCTTTATACCAAATTTACTTCTCAAGGATATAACATAACATCACTCCTTTTATCCCCGAAGGGGTAGGTTTTTCACTATTTATATTATGAGTCCCATGTAATAGGGGGTCAGCCTATTGCCATACACCGTGCACAATTCCAGACTACGTGCTACTACTGAAAATGTTTAAAAAACCCAGTATTACTTTGCCCGGCCCGGGAGTCGAACCGACACCGCTTGCCCGGCAGTCGCACTTGCGACCACTCGGCCAACGAGGCAGGTTAAGGTTAAGGGCAGACCCTTCTTCACAACTTCTTGAACCACTGTCATCCAAATAAAGAATATTATTTAACGGCATTTTTTGTAAATGTGATGAACTATCTGCCATATTTTAATGGGTAGGTATATGAGAGCAGTCGAACAAGCCCTAAAAGTTCTCCGTACTTGTATATGCACTGTTTCTAGGCATTAAAATTTATTATTCGTTTTTATGTGACAATGATAACTTTAATAGTCAATTGTATGGTGGGAATTTTATGATTCTATTCTTTTTATGTTAAATGGACATTATATAATCAAAGGTTAAATGTTGTTTATCTATGAATAAATAAATAAAAATATCACGTTGTACTTACTTACTCACAATTTTTAAAGAGATACAAAATAAAATAATGTTGAAAATGAAATAAATAGTGAACTGAACTCGCCACAGATATAGGTAATAAAGAAGGTAATATAGATATAAAATTTAATATTTCTGTGGAACTCGCAGTTATACTTTATAATTAGGGAATAAAATGGGTTAAGCACAGACTAAACCAAACAATGAAAAGTTATTTTGAAGTGAAAATATAAATCATTGCCAAAATGTTTCACTTTAGATTTGAAACTCGTAAGTATCTATATTTTATCTGAAAAAAATATTGTAACCAAGGTCAACTAACTGAGAAATGATTCTATTGCCTTGGATTGCCTTATCTTTCTCTATTTTGGTATCAGATCAGTAGACTAATAATATTCACAATACTAATTCATTCTATTCAGATTAAAGTTGTCTAAAGGGCCTCAGCGCAGTTGGCTTCGGTCCCTCGTCTATCTCCCAAATGACCGGGACCCTGTGAATGGTAAAGATTCACAATACGGACTATTTTCTTTGATAGGTACTTTTAAGTAAAACTCAATACTTAAACACTGAAAAGTTTACTATAAACGGATTCTTATAAAAACACAGCGTGATGCTCGTCAAATTTCCCACCAGAATCGCGCGTCACTACACTTTGCGCGGGAAACTTTTGTAATCTGTCCCATTTGACAGATGACATCGTCAATATGATAACTAGTGCTGTCGATAACATAGATTAAACTAGTGACGTTCATTTAGTTGATTTTCGTCGTCTAACAGTACCTACTTACTTATACAAAGTTCTGAAAATTATCCCACACTTAAACTTTTATCGTAAACGTATAGTGAGAGCGTTCACAAGTCTTTACATCTTTAAACCTCACCCCCAAAAGGCTAGCAACGCGTCTATCTGTAAGTCTTCTGCTATTACGGGTGTCCATAGAAGGCCTTACTCGTTTACCATCAGGTGATCCGACTGCCCGCGTACCCGCTAAACCATAAAAAGCTCCTACGACCAGTGTTTCAATTTTACCAGAGTTTAGTTTATACATGTATCAGAGACATTGTAGAACATACTTTTTTAAAAAGAGTAACGAATGTAGTTTCTTGCTCGTTATTCTCAATTCGAATCTACATTTTGGAATGAGCACCTAGCTTCACCTAGGCGGACTGACTGACAGACTATTAATTATTTTGTATTTGTTGACGTTTCGAAAGTACCAAAATATGGTTTAATTGAAATAAATTCTTTGACTTTGACTTTAACAAACATCACTTAACTACTCATTTATTGTCTCTCCCAGGATGCCAAAGAAGAGTTCACCAAAAAACCGAAGAATGACGCGGACGCGTTGGACGCAGTGCTCAGCCATATTGGCGACATGGGGCGCTACCAAAAGTTCCTATTTATCGTCATGATGCCCTTCGGTATATTCTTCGCCTTTATATACTTCGTGCAGATGTTCATAGCTGCCACACCACAGAACCACTGGTGTGCTATACCTGAACTCGCTCATCTGGAAATGGAAGTCAGGTTTGTAATTATAATTAAAAAACGTAAATAAGATTTATACATAAATTCTACAATAATTTTTGGTAATTCAAACAGGTGTGCTTCTATAAATACTTTCCCGCGTAAATAGCTGTCATTTTGACAAAAGAAAGCAGCCGTGTTCAAAATTCAAATAAAGACTGACTTTTTTTAATTAAAAAAAGGTGCCTGGGGTGTCCGTGCCTTTCAAAGAGGTTTAAAACGACACTGGCACAATAGCTGTATCCTGAAAAGGTTACATCATAAAGTCTTGTGGTCCTAGGTAGATCTTCATTCATAATAAAGCTTGTAGGCTTTTCACGTGAACGCCTCACTCCTTTGTTTTTTTCCTACGTCATTTTCTTTAGTAAAATAGGGTATCAAGTAATGAAAGGTTCACGAAAGAGGTTTTGTTTTAGTCTAGACTAGAAAACAAATGTTTAGATACTATGAAAATGTAACAGTCCTTATGTACTTAAATACCTACAGATATGAAAATCTGCAATACTTACAAAAGCCTATATAGGTGTGATAAAGAATGCTGGAGTAGTGACAATCAAAACTGATCCAATGTCAGAATTGTCTGGTTATCAGATAAAATGTAACGAAATGCTTATCCCGCTCGATACGGTCTGACTCTCAGATTAGATGCCAGATAAAGTACTTGTATTTGGAAACGAAAGTTTTTCATCCACGAGTATCATCAAGAAAAATGTGACTAAATATTTCTTAATGCTAAATATTTGTTCATTATATCCGGCCACCGTAAGCACGGGCCTGCGGTCGGCGAGCACGGGTAACTTGCCCCCGACCAGAACCAGGCCCGAGCGTACGGCGCGTCGCGTTCCGCGCGCGCCTCAAGGAGCCATCAGACCACCACAGATGGGGCCCAATTGGGCTGTTACCAATACGGGGCCGCGGAGAACCTAACGGGTTACCGGGGCTCCGGCTCGACGTGCTGGAGAAGGAACGGGGTGGTTTTTAGTCAGAAATAGTCTGACACTCCCTCTCGCCCTGACCCGGGCGGGAGAAGTCAATGGATGACTTTCCCCCCTACAAAAAAAATATATTCATTAAAATATGCACCTTAGAACTACGCAAAGTACAAACAGTATTGTTGAAAGGTTGAAAAGCAAATTTACTGATGTGCCCGTTGACTGAATGAAACAACATCCATTTTTCCAGTCAAATTGCGAGTCTCGTTTGGTAGGCGATAATTTTCGAAAATCGTGAAACCTGGAAAGGGCCTGCAATCAAATCCAGGACCCGATAAACGAAGCAGTTAGAAATGAAAGTTGATGTTATTGTAAATGATACAGCGTGCTTGTACAGTCCCATGAATGTGACGGAAGAGAAAGAAGTTTGTACTGATAGTAATAGGTATAGCTATAAATTCTACCTTATTGAAATAGGTAGACGCCTCAATCTCCAACGCCATGGGATAAATACGAGACGTAGAGGTTAATGTTTATGTCAAGTATCTAATAAGTTCTCTGCTTCCATTCCAGACGCAACCTATCAGCACCAGGAGCGGCATCAGGTAAATGGGAGCGATGCGTCACCTACGACGTGAACTGGACTCAAGTGCTGGAGACGATGACCCCGCCCCCTCCTGGCACGCCCACCATACCCTGCCAACATGGATGGGACTTCGAGCTCAATGATATACCTTATGCCACTGTTGTTAGTGAGGTGAGGGTCACGATTTCTTGTAGCCAGTTTTAATATTATATAGATTTATAGATTTCCTCACAAGATATAAAATTATTCAGGATATCTTTATCGTATTCAGTGTAAGCTAAATGAATTCAAAAGTGAATAGTCCGAAAGGAAGAGGATGAAGGAATAAGAGATGGAAAAATTACATATATGAAAGAAGTGGGAGTTGGTGTCGTGATAGGAGATTATATGACGGATAAATTGAAAAAAGAAGACGTATCACAATGACCCCAAGTGAGTCACAGTAGAACCAGGTAGATGATATAGGTACTCCTACGATTACTATAACGACATTCAGTAAAATAAAATCTGAAATACCTTTCATCTTGTCACCTAATAAAACTTAAAACCTGCCCTCTCTTAAAAATCGTATAACCGAACTGCCTCTCCATTGCTACTTGCCTTTTCAGAGAGGCTGGGTGTGTGAACACGCTCAAAATGTGCCGATGGCTCAGGCGGTGTTCTTCGCCGGTGCCTTCGTAGGGGGCCTTATCCTGGGCTGGCTAGCTGATCACTTTGGACGAGTACCAGCTGTTATGGGTAAGCGAGATAAATATCAGTCATTTATTTATTTATTTATTTATTATTTATATTTAAACATTACATTTATCATCACAGGCACACCTAATACAATAAATGCAGGTACACATTATAAGTAACTTATTACACAATATCCCCTAATAACCGTAAAATAATTTAGACAAAGAAAAACAAAAGAACATCACCATCAACAGCCTGTGGTAGTACATTGCTGAACTTTGAGCCTCTTCTACCAAAACAGGGGCTTACAATAATTTTTCACGTTTGGCAGTCGCATAGTATAAAAGGTTCTGGATTATCAAAGAGCGTTGCTGCCCTGGCTCTCTTAAATATATATAGTTCGGATCTTACAACGCTCGCGGAAGCAGTAGAAGTGAAAATCAAAAATGTATTTTGCAGTCCAAAAATACGTCGCGGAGAACCTAACGTGTTACCGGGTCTCCGGCTCGACGTGCAGGAGAAGGAACGGTGTGGATTTTAGTAAGAGTCTGACACTCCCTCCCGCCTCACCCAGGCGGGAGCAGTAATTCGATGACTTCCCCCCTTAAAAAAAACTCCAAAAATATAGTCACGCGGTTTCTACCCAAAAATTCAAAGACAAATATTGTATCATAACAATAGTTTATCAAGATATACTTGAGTACTCGCTGTCTCATCGGCGACAGATGTTTGTGAATAAACACGAGTGGTCCACAAATTTTCAACATGTGGTTTAGTTAATTAATTAAAGCAGTTAGTCATTCAATGTGGGAAATAACAACATAGTTATAACCGCCTAATTGTCACATTTTCATACTGTTTTTTTTATAATTACGAATGGTCTTAAGGATGACGACGTTAGTGACATTAATTTATTTAACATCTGTTGACCTAATACCCGAATACTGAAACGGAACTAAATTCAAAATCGCGCTCAAGTATAGAGGTAGTTCTGTCACTACAAATTCTTTGTAAAATGTTTCATACCGTGTCGTAGTAATGCCTTGGCCTTTAATACATTTTGTTTTGAACTGCCCTTAGAATATTGATCTAGTATCCCATAATTTGATTGATAAAAACAAAAGAGAAAACGTTGAAGATACATTCACATAACATAGACACACATACACACACGACACGCGGGCACACACACAGCGAGTTCGCCCGCGTTCCCGTGGGTGAACTATGCGTTATTCCAGACTATAATATACCCCGTGCCCTGTTCTAAATTTCATCTCGATCTCTTCAGCCGTTTTGACGTGACAGAATAACAACCACACTCACACACATACATCCTTACAAAGATTCGCATATTTTATAATATTAGTTGTGTTATCTCTGCTTTCATCTTCAAAACGGGAATCAAAACCTAAAATGAGTGTTATTAACGTTTCTCATTTCCCTATTTCAGCTGCCAACCTAATCGGTGGCATCGGTGGTGTAGCTACAATCTTCACAAAGGGAGTATGGGACTTTACTCTCTGCCGGTTCCTAGTGGGCATGTCCTTCGACAACGCATTCATGATGGTATACATTTTAGGTAAGTCGTTACTTCTTGAACGTTATTCTAATTAATCTTATACTATTACTAGTATAACACATCACGCTACGGCCAATAGGCGCTGAGCAGAGCGTGTGAAACTGCTCGGAAGTAGCTAGTGAATCTCATAAATCTCATTGTAATCGAGAGTGAGCGGTCTGACGAACCATGGACAAATAAGGTACAAAATCCCCTGTCGTACTACTTAGTATGGACTCTCCACCGTCTCCAATAGGCTGGACACCATTACAATCCATCATTCGCGGAGAACCTAACGGGTTACCGGGGCTCCGGCTCGACGTGTAGGAGAAGAAACGGGGTGGTTCTTAATCAGTAAGAGTCTGACACTCCCTCCCACCTCGCCCAGGCGGGAGCAGTCATTCGATGAAAAAACCCTTGTTTTTACTCGATGACTGTCAGCGACATTGTGAATATCGTCACTAGCTGGAGGTTGTCCCCTTACTTCTATGACCTACAAAATTATTTTTAAATATTTTTTAAACGATTTTTTTTTTTTCTTTACAGTGATTGAATACGTGGGATCTCGGTACCGTACTATAGTGGCAAACATGTCTATTGCGCTGTACTTCGGCATGGGATGCCTCTGCTTACCCTGGTTAGCTCTTTGGATCAGCGATTGGAGAATGCTTCTCTGGGTCACCTCGCTGCCAATGTTACTCGTTGTCTTCGCGCCTTTTGTCCTACCAGAGAGTGTGAGGTACGTTTGACAGAAAAAGGGAATAAGTACTTAATTTCTTTTTTAGACTAACTAGTCTTTTTATCATATTTGTTATGAATGTCATGGAATAGAGAGTGAGCCTCTAAAGGGGGCACTACTCAGAATACTTTGCCCGCCTCTAGACAACCCTGACACAATACCTTGTTCGGTATTACCGCTTGCGCTCTACCAACAAGGCAATCTACCTGTTTCAGTCAGTATATTAGGCCTATTAAACAATTACTATTATTATATATAATTATTAATAAGGTTCAGACATACCTAACGATTTTTTTCTTCGTATTTCAGATGGTACGTGAGTCGCGGTCGCGTCAACCAGGCGGTGGAGGTCCTTAGAAAGTTCGAGAAAGTCAACGGCACTAAGGTCCCAGATGATGTCATGGATGAATTTATTGTAAGTTTCCCGTTTTCCTTTCGTTTCTATTAGGAAAAACTTCATCAAAATCGTGTATTTCGAGTTAGTGAATGGGTTTTCTTTCTTAAATGAAGTTTTTACCATTTATCTGTACTGTAGGTAACTCTGTTTTATTTGGTAGTTATTTTTTTCTTTGACACCAGTTAAATTTAGGTACAAAACCTCTACATTACTCCCGTTTGTACCTCAACAAACAATATAAACATTTAATATCCGACAGATGGCATCAAACCAAACGAAGGACAGCAAGGAGTCACTTCTGGTTCTATTGAAGAGTGCTCCTCTCCGGCTAACGATGATTCTCATGCTGATAGTCTACATGAGCTGTTCGGTGATCTTCGACGGCCTCGTCCGAATGTCTGATGCTTTCGGACTTGACTTCTTCATCAGTTTCACGTTGACTTCAGCCACTGAGATTCCTTCCGTCACTCTGTTGGCTATCGTGCTTGATAGGTGAGGAATTTAAATTATTGCAGAAATTAATTTTAGTATCGAAGTGAGTGTAGTAGTGTAGTGTTCGGAGTCTCTTTGAAGGATCGAATCCGAAACGAAGTGATCCGACAGAGAACCAAAGTTATCGACATAGCCCAAAGGATCAGTAAGCTGAAGTGGCAGTGGGCCGGTCACATTTGTCGAAGAACCGATAACCGTTGGGGTAAACGTGTTCTAGAGTGGAGACCGCGTCTAGGCAAACGCAGTGTAGGGCGCCCTCCAGTTAGGTGGAGTGACGACATCTGCAAGGTAGCTGGCAGTTGTTGGAAGAGACGAGCTGAAGACCTCATTGGCGTGCCATTGGAGAGGCCTTTGTCCAGCAGTGGACGAATACAGGCTGATGATGATGATCGAAGTAAATGATCATACAAGAAGCCTAAATGGCTTCCATAAATAGCTATTGTAAAATAATCCAAAAATGCTTAGCCATTTACTTTAAGCATGCTTCTGGAACCAATTGACCAATCGATCAGCCAAAATTGGTAGTCTCGACATTAGTAGCGACAATTTTATTGTGTAATAGATTTTTTCAGCTTTATTTATTTTAGTAATGAGGTTAAAAATCTATAAATAAAATAAAGTGATGATGATGATGATGATGATAAAACACTTTTTTCGGTTGACTTGGACCTTGCATTGATAATTTTGATGTATTTCAGATGGGGTCGCAGAAAACTCACAGCTGGGCCATTGGCTATTGCAGCTATACTTATTGGTATCGCTATGATAGTGCCGAAAGGTTTGTTGAACATTGTGTAATTTTTCGAAACTTTATTTTACTATCCGAGACACTTATAACATTTCAATGTTTTTATTGCGGTAAAACCATATAATCATGCTGTTTTTGGTGCAACTAGGGGCTTTAAAATTTCAAAAAGGCCCAATTATTCTCTCCTTCCCAAATCTCCCCAATTCTTGAATCCCCAACGATCCTCAAACTCCTAATCCCCAAAAGGCATCATGTGATCCGTCTGCTCGTTTACCGACTTATGCCATAAAAAAGAAGCTTTTTTGTAAACCTGTCTGTTCTGATTTACAGGCATACCACAAGCATCAATGGCGATAATGGCGCGGTTCTTTATGAACATGTCATACAACGCGGTGATCCAGTGGGCCACGGAGCTGCTGCCCACTGCGGTGCGAGCCTCGGGCTCCGCCACGCTACACATGAGCGGCTACATCATATCTATACTTTCACCGTACATTGTGTATTCTGTGAGTACCTGGAATACTTCCTAGCTTCCGACTTAGTTTTAGTCAAATTTCCGTGGTGCTTGGCTTGCTTGGCGACTGGGCTTCACTCAGTTGTACAGTCTCTTCTTTGTGCTTTTAGGCTTAATTTATTCTGTCTCCTGCAGTAATTCACCAAGGGAATTGAAAACTATAGTTTTTTCTTCTTCTCCTCTTATAATATCTTCTGATTCACTTCGTTGCGGGAACCAAGACAGTTAGCCATGTCCCTGGGACGCGCCAGACTCCAATGTTCCGGTGTTTTCATGGTTGTATCTACTGTAGATCCTGGCTTACAAGAGTTGCAGCTGTTTTGGGAGGTTGTGGCGGGCTTGTCCCATTTAAAAAAATAGCTTTGGACTAGCTTCTAAGAATGACTGAAAATTCATATACCCTTGCCAGGAACAGGTCTTATAATTTTGGATCTTTAAACTTTGAAATTTTTTATTGGCTGCGCAATATCAAAATATTATTCATTCTGTCCCCCACGACCCTCTAAGGGAAGATATTTAGGAAGCTATAACTTGTGCTTAAAATTCTAAACTTCTTTTCGTTTCTCCAGCTTATATGACATGTCAACTCAATGCCTATTTCATTTTCTCTTATTTTAATTCACAGGAAAGAATATGGACGCTTCTACCGCTGTTGATCCTTTGCATCATATCGGTGATAGGATCAGGTATCAGCTTCGTGCTGCCTGAGACCAAGGGCAGACCCATGCCACAAACTATGGCGGACGGAGAGCGACTAGTACAGGAACAATCATTATGCGGGTAAATATTTTACTAACTACCTTATTCCTGAGGAAATAAGAATATTTTTTGAATAAGAATTAAATTACAGCATAATGATAATTTGCATGTACCGATATCGCTTGATTATATGTTGGGAAAGCTTGTTGTCTTATTTTTGTAGTGTTTCTTTTTTGTTTTTGGATAGTATAAACTAGATAGGTTCGGAAGTTTAGTATAAGAGGCTAAGCCTTTGTAACATGTTTTATTCAACTATTGTATCTGGCCTGCAAGTGTTTGATCATCTACAAGTACTCGATCTTTACTCAATCTAGGCATTGAAGCTTGAATTGATGAAGAAGTTTAGCATTTTTTGTTTATTACTTCAATTAAGGTGGTTTTTTGAGGGGCGATGACTTCTCCCGCCTTGGGTTAGGCGAGAGGGAGTGTCATACTCTTACTGACTAAGAACCACCCGATGCCTACTCCTGCTCTTCGAGCCGGAACCCCGGCAACGCGTTAGGCCTCCCGCGGTACTCTGATGGTCTTAAAATGGCTGAGAGAGTGATCTTCAGACTTCTTCGTCTACGTTATAACATTAGGTGGCGCTTTCTACTTATAGAAAGGATTCTGCATGAGTTTTCAGCTTTTGGGTTTGTGTGTTTGTTCGTTTTGTCATTTATGTTGATTGATCTACGACCTTGCTTCCTTTTTTCATTGCTATTCTTATCTTTATTTCTTTCTCGACGTGACTTTTCCTTCTATTTTTTTCGTTTCTAGTTCTTACAAGGCATGTGGCTTTACCAAAGGTGTAATGCGTAAACTCCGGACTATTTTCCATTCTGGTGATGTAGGTAAGAAATGAACAATGTTGATTTTAGGGTAGCATACCTATTTGTTTAGGTATTATGCATTCTTATTTAGATGGTGGTACGAGCTACATCTGTTTAACATGTTTTTCAGCCCTGTCAATTTTCTTTATGAGGACTTATGGACGAGCAAGGACAGAGTTTGTCCAATCCAATTTTTTTTACTTCTTATTCATCGGTTCGCTATAGGGTCAGCAGTCCCAATATTTACAACGACAAAGACCGGTCAACAGAAAATTTGTTAAACAGAATTTCAACTTAAAAAAAATGTTTGGTGTTGAAAAATGTAACGAAGAAATTCACGACTTAGCGACTGATTTTTGTCGTTATAACTATCGAGACTTCAAACGCCGGTTATGTTTAAAAAACAATACTAATATTAAAAATTAATCTTTACAGAAAAGCAGTAGACGACAACGAAGAAATGGAATGGAAGAACGAAAAACAAAAGGCTCTTATTACATAACGTTACAATTTATATTTACGGGTATTAAGGGATCTAAAGATAATAATAGACATTGCTTCAAGCATTCTCAAGGGTAATCCCACTGATGTACTTAAAGGTGCTTTCTTTTAGGGTACGTAGTGAAACCATTAATTAATGTAGGTAGACGATTTTCAGAATATTTTTGTAATTTTGAAAATCGTATCGAGATTTTGTGATTATAGTTTGCCTTGGACTGATGTGATGACAAGTATGTAGATAGGTACGGTGGACACGTCTACCTATCCTTATGTGTCACATTTTCAACTTTATTGTATTGACGTAAATATGAAAATCCAATTTGAGACATTGGAATAGGTTAATATGTTGGCCACTGTACATAAAACGTTGTGCTATGAAAATGTTATTTAGGAGTATGATAGGAGTACCTATATGAACACATAAGGAATATATGTACAGTACGGACATATGGACTCTGTTAAGCAGAAATGATCCAGCCCACATTTTATTACTTTTTAGTAATTGAAGTTTAAGGTTGGGTTGATAATAAAAAAATAAAATGACACAGTACCTTATCAATAGGTACTGTGTCATATGATGATTACTTTAAACTTAATTTAGGTACTCAAAAATAAAATGTGGGCTGGATCTTTTCTGCTTAACAGTGTCCATTATAATTTCATTATCTGCATTGAATTAATGTGGATTTTTTATTTAAGGGAGAAAACCATGTCGCGGAGAACCTAACGGGTAACCGGGGCTCCGACTCGACGTGCAGGAGTAGGAACGGGGTGGTTTTTAGTCAGTAAGAGTCTGACACTCCCTCCTGCCTCATCCAGGCGGGAGCAGTCATTCGATGATTTTCCACCCTTAAAGAGGCGAGAGGGAGTGTCACACTCTTAAAAACCACCCCGTTCCTACTCATGCACTTCCAGCCGGAGCCCCAGCAACCCTTAAGTCCTCCGCAGCTCCGTATCGGCATCAGCCCTATTGGGCCCTATCCGTGGTGGTCTGATGGCTAACGAATGTGAACTACCTAGGTACTTAAAACACTATTGTCTTCGTTCTACATCAATTCAACATTCTTCTCCTATCCTAATCACAATGTTAACAATGATTGATATTTCCGAAACAATGACTATAAAATAAATATTTATTTAAAATGGCATACACATTATATTTATGTATTACCTATGTAGAAGTGTGAATAATATTCAGGTACAGAGTGCCAACCACGAATAATTATCGCATTCGTATCGTAACAGTATCAAGCGAGTTCGTCGTTCTTTTTTTTTAAGGTATAAGCCGGTTAACGAGCATGCGAATCACCTGATGGTAAGCAATCGGCGTCGCCCATGGACACCTGGAAAACCAGAGGCGTTACAAGTGCGTTACCGGCCTCTTGGAGATTAGGAGTTTGAGGATCGTTGGGGATTCAGGAATTGGGTAGAATGGAGAAGGGAGGGTAATTGAGCCTCCGGTAACGACGAAACACAACGCAAGCGTTGTTTCACGTCGGTTTTCTGCTCGGCCGTGGTAGCACTCCGGTCGAGCCGGCCCATTCGTGCCGAAGCATGGCTCTCTCACAATTAGTTCTAATTGGTTGGTTCACTGGAGCCGGCCAATCAGAGCTCCGAACGCGCTCGATACTATTAAGTTAACAATGCGATTGTTATTCATGCTTGGTACTCTGGCTTTGAACTTATAATCTCTTCTATTTACCTACATTTGACAATAGTTTGATGATTAGTAAGTTTAAGTGATATCATATCTATGTAAATTAATTAAAACAAAGGTTGTATACCAGTGCAATTAGATATCGCTAATAATTATTATAAGAGTGCCTGATTGTTCCAAAATGTGCCTATTTCTGTGTTCGTGTTTATTTTATGATTTAGGGAACAGAGTGTAAAGTTCCTTAAGATCGGAAAAGGAGGATCCTTCGACCAGGCGAGGTGATCGTGCTTGGCGGGCTTTCTGTCCAACAGTTGTTCTTTGGGATTTTCTATCCGTGTTAATTCGCATGTAAACGTCACATGAGCGATGTAGGATTTTGTAACTTATCCGTTGACTTGCTTCATTGAAGTCTATGTGTGGGAACTGTCATTTGACATATGTCGCCACAATGACTTCACTTTGTGATTTGCTCGAAAAATAAGTATTCTGTAAGTAAGTGCTTACTACAAACAGTTCAATAGGTAAATAAATAAGTAATTGTTATTGAAACATGTATTTCATTGATGAATATTTTAATTGAAACGTTTCAAAATGAGCTTCCAAATGTCTTTATTATATATTTTTGATATAAAAGCGAATAATTTTATGTTCTTCTTAGATCAAATGTTTAGTTTAAATACATATCATTCTTTATCAGTGTTATATTATATTCCACGCATCAAACAAGCTTCGATAATAATTAATTTTTAAATATTAACTAAGGTTTGTAGCTCAACAAAGTAGAAATGTAGAACAAACAGTTACCCACTGTGATACTTTAGAAATCAATTAAAATAAAGATTAATAATAAAAATATTACCTAAGGATAACTTGAGAACCGAATGAGATATTTATTTGTGGTCTAAAAGGCTCGATTTAAAATAGGAATAAGATTAAAAATCATATCTTTAAAGAAAATAAAAAATAATGTCTTGTTTATGGCAAACATGGCTTCCTTCGATTACAGATTAAAAATTTGTATTGTTCTAAGTGTAATTCAATAAGGCAGTAAATTATGGTTTAATTATTAGAATAAGTCTGAATAATTGTATAAATAAATATAATAAGATGAACAAAGTTGTACAATACTTTTATTAAAAGTATACATTATGATTTTAATTTATTGTATTCATTCATTCAACCCTGCTTTGAAAGATTTTTCAAATGACTACAACTTTATGAACGCACAACACAGGGTGTTGAAATTGACCTTAGGTCGCGTAAAGTAATATTTGACATTTTCTACTTTTTTGTGATCCTACCGTTTAAAGGTTCATATTATTTAGTTCCATATCATTCACAATCGTAACTTACGCAAACATTAATACCCCACAATAAAACTCCAAAAACGTTATACAAAATATATATATTAGCTAAAATAAATCATGTGCTCTTTATACTAAGGTACATTTTTCCGTTAATATTCTGTTTGACAGGGTTAATTCTCTTCAGTATCTGCGTCATGGTCTCCACGAGGCGGTCGCTGCTGACCCCCGTGCGCTTAGATTTAAACTTTGTCAAGAGTTCTGTTGTCGTCATCGGTTTACGTGCGAGGTAGCGACGTACTGCTTCTTCAGTAACACCGCATTCACTGGAAAGATATGTGAACATGAGTATCTTGCTTACATTCCTACCTTAGATTACTTGACAGCGCAGAAAAAGGTGGATTTTTATAAGGGGGGAAAATCCTCGAATGACTGCTCCCGCCTGGGTGAGGCCGGACGGAGTATCAGACTCTTAACATAACATAACATAACATCACGCCGCATTTTATCCCCGAAGCGGTAGGCAGAGGTGCTCATTATGCGACTGTACAATTTAACACCCACTTTTCACTATTTATGTTATGAGTCCCATGTAATAGGGGGTGAGCCTATTGTCATATTAGCCAGATTAGACATATCAGACTCTTACTGACTAAAAACCACCTCGTTTCTTCTCCTGCGCTTCGAGTCGGAGCCGCGGTAACCCGTTAGGTTCTCCGCGACTGATAAAGGTGGTCTATCGGTTCATTTAGCTTATAACATTTTTTTATGGCATAAGCCGGTAAACGAGCAGACGGATCACCTGATGGTAAGCAATCGGTGTCGCTCATGGACACCTGGAACACCAGAGGCGTTACAAGGGCGTTACCGGCCTTTTGGGGATTAGGAGTTTGAGGATCGTTCGGGATTCAGGAATTGGGGAGATTGGTGAAGGGAGGGTCATTAGGCTTCCGGTAACCTCACTCACACGACGGAACACAACGCAAGCGTTGCTTCACGTTGGTTTTCTGTGAGGCAGATAGATGCTATCGAGACTGGTTGTACGGCAATTTGAACCTGTAGTATGTTAGAATAAAGCTATTTTACCTGTACGAAGCATCGAGTTTGGGTCGTTTGGCGGGCGGCATGTTGGAGTTGGCGGCGTTGGCGGCGGCCACCGCGGCCTGCGCGGCCGACGGCGTCGGGGTGCCCGACCGGGACGTATTCGCACTGCCTGCCGCTGGACAAATCATAAATTTATTTATATAGATTTTTCTGTGTCACATAAATTGAACCATTATACCTATTACACCTACTGTTGCACATCTCTGCATCACCCCATGGTTGACTGTTAGAGAATGCCACCCGGCATTAAGTCCGCCATCGTATGTTTGTTATACAGAAGTGTTAATAAATAAATAAAAATACATTATTGTTATGTTGTGTATTTGTTATTATCTGTGCAAGTATATTACTGGCCATTTGCGATGACAATAGTCTATGTCTTGTATATTGTCTATGCCTATTTTAAAAAAAGAATAAAACAGTGTGCTAATAATGGCGGTCTGCAGTTTCAGTTTTTCCCACATGTAAACATTTTATACAACATTTTAAACTGTCAAACACCAAGCGGTCACCGGTGACCGCAACCTATTGTTCTATAATTGTGTCTACCAAACCGGTACTCGACGAGTTAAAAGACATACTCAAGGTAAACACGGATATATATGTTGCATCAAACTACAACTTTTCGTGAGACATAGTAAATTAATTATTATGTTTTCGGCTTACATAACTGTTTGACGAGGAACTCGACTAGTTTCAAGCCATGCTAGAGGCTCATATTCTTCATTATGAGTCTCTAATACAATATAGGTTATTTTATTCCTCAATTAACAAGGCATTTGAAGTTATCAAAAAACTAGTTTTTTTTTAGTTATCATCATTCACTGAATAAACCTCTTCATGATACCAGACCAGCCGATTAATAGTGACCAGTATTTAATAGCTATACCTGCGACCTATTACGTCACAATTAGATTTTTTTTCAAGAAGTTTAAGAAATCTAGTCACGAACACTTCGGAAAAATTCGGAATAGTTCGGAAAAGTTCGGAATAGTTTCTGTTTAACAAACGCATATACATGCCCGATAATATTAATCTACCAATTACTAATTATTTGAATTACAACCTTACACTAGTACAATAAGGCACACTTTCGCATACATACCAGATGTGCTGGCGGTGAGTCCATTCTTATCGTTGCTCTTAGATTTCTTGGGTTTCTTGACTGCAGGGGTCGTTTCAGGGTCCGTGTCCGAGTCTGAACTCAACTCACTGCTTGAATCTGTAACATATAACATAACAAAGGTAAATTATATGGAGAACTGTGAAACAACTGCCTCGTTAACCGAGTGGTCGCAAGTGCGACTGCTGGGCAAGGGGCGAGACCCCTGTTCGATTTCCGGGTCTGACAAAGTATTACTGGATTTAAAAATAATCTCAGTAGTAGCACGGAGTCTGGAATTGTGCCTAGTATATGGCAATAGGTTCACCCCCTATTACATGGGACTCATAACATAAATAGTGAAAAGTGGGTGTTACATTGACAGTGGCATAATGTGCACCTCTGCCTACCCTTTCGGGGGTTTAAGGCGTGATGTTATGATGATGATGAACTGTGAAACAAGTGAATTTATTTCTGTAAA